AAGCATTTGCTGCATAAAAAGTTGCAAGAAAACCAGGGAAAAACAACAAATGAATGTAAGCGGTAACACAAAATACGCCAAATAATCACGAATTGTGCAAAAGCTAGTTATATAGAAACCAATTTCTAACTAGTAACTGAAGCAGTTACAAACTCACCGTTTAGTATGAAGTAAAATTTTAAAATAGTTATCAGAAATTTTTTCATGAATTGTTTTGCTTTCAATTAAACAGTTGCTATACCAAATGGAACTAGTTATCGTACTAGTTAAAGTTAAACATCTTTGAATAAGCGCAAACATAGAAAACAAAGGTTAAATTTTTTTTTTATTATTCATCTACAAAGCAACATATCTTTGTGCTATAAGATGGTGGCAACATAAGAAAATCGAACAATTGGCACATTGACTTCAGAGCCATTTTATACCATAAACATTTGTAACGTTGCCACAGCAGCGGTTATATATGCACTATGACTGAATGAAGACAAAATTTATATTTTTATTCAATCTCATTCAAATTGTTTTATTCGACAAGATTTTAGATTATTTTAATTTACATTTTGCATTAAATTTAATTTTAGTTTTCTTTAATTTATTTTTTTAAATTTATTTAATATCATTTTAATTTATTTTAAAAGCTATCGTATGTTATTATTATATTTATTATTATTATTATTATTATATCTAATTTTTTTTTATTTGATTTCATTTCCGTTTTCTTTATATAATTTAATGTTTTTATTTCATTTGATTTTATGTTATTCTATTTTATTTTAAAATTTGTATTTAATTTAATTTAATTTTCATTATTTTTTTAACTTTGCCTTATTTTTTGCATTTTCTTTCCTTTTCTTTTATTTAAATCTATTATTCTTTACTTTTATTTTATTGAATTTTATTTTTTTATTTTATTTCATTACGTTTTCTTTTTCCTTATTAATTCATAATGTTTCTTTATTTAATTCATATTATTTTATTTCATTTTATTTTTTTTTGGTTTTCTTTTTTGTAAATTGTTTTTTATTTCACATTATTTTTTTTACTTTATTTTATTTCGCTTCATTTTTTCATTTTATTTTGTTTTCTTTTATTTTATTTTATTTTATTTTATTTTATTTTATTTTATTTTATTTTATTTTATTTTATTTTATTTTATTTTATTTTATTTCATTTTATTTTATGTTGTTTCATATTATATCATTTTATATTAATCTATATTTTTATTTGGTTTCGTTTCACTTAAGTTTACCTTATTTAATTTATCTTAGGTTTATTTTTTGATTTTATTTATTTCATTTCCTTTTTTTTTTAATTTAAAAATATTATTTTTTGAATTTAATTTATTTAATATCATAGTGTTTTATTTTATAGACTTTTACTTTATTTTATTTTATTTAATTTTGCTAATCTTCGCCTTATTTATTGGATTTAATTTATTTCATTTCCTTTAATTTGATTTTAATTTATTTAATATCTATTTATTTTATTTTACTTTATTTTTTATTTTATTTTTATTTATTTTTTTTTACTTTATTTGTTTTTTATTTTAATTTTTTTTATATTATCCTATTTTATTTCATTTAATTTATTTATATTATTCTATTTTATCTTAGTTTATATATTTAATTACACCCATTTGATTTAAATTTTTTTATTGTATTATATTTTATTTTGTATACCTTTTCCCTATAATGGTTTTGTTTTGTATTTTATTTTACTTTATTTCATTTTTTTAAGTTTTTTTATTTTATATTATTTTATTATTCTTTTTTTTGCTTTATTTCTTTTAAAATAATTTTATTGTTTTTATTTTTTCATTATTTTTATATTATTTCATGTAATTTCTTTTAGCTATTATTTTATTTTTACTTGTGGTTCAACAACACTTTGCGGTTTTCCTCAACGTTTTCTGTGCCGCATATACTCATAAGTTATTGGCATTACCTGCTTTTGTAGCATGCATACTTGTATGTGTTAGTTTACATATGTATTCGTATAGCTTGTACGAATGAAATGTTTTTTTTTTTTGCGGATATAATTCGCTGTGCAATTCAAATCCTATTAAGGGCTAGTAACCTTTGTTCGAACTGAATATTTTCGTTTGTGTTAAAAAGAAATATATTTAATATACATACACATATGTATAGTGCCAGACATGCTATGCACAAGAGTATGTTTATATACATATATAAATACTTGTATACCTTAGCATTACACTTTGTTATAACTAAATAAGTTTAGAGTGTCATATTCCCAATACCGATCAGTTCAGTTTACAAGCACCTACTTGTGCATATATAACATATCTATATATACATATGTACTACCTAGTATGCGCTTACAAGTTTTTTCTTGCTCACAAATACCAACTATTTGTCACAGCAGTCAATGAGTCATTGAATTTGTCCACTTGAATGGATAAATGGATTATTTTTGCTCGTGCGTGTATGCGTATGGATTAGTTTTATATACAAAAGAAAAATTATAAAAAAATAGAAATAAATAATTCAATCAATCACTGAAACTGTTAGTATAAAAAGTTCATTTCAAGTGATATATGTATTAAAAAAATATTTAACACCGACAAAAAAGTGTTCTGAGGATCTGCTACTGAAATAGCCACAAGTTATCTTACGCAGAATCAGCAATTTCAAGCGCAAAAATACTCCACCATAGTTAAGACACGCATTTCTAAGTTAAAAACTTGGCTGAGAGGCAATATCTCCCTCGAAATATCTTCACTTCGGGCGTAAGGTTCCGCTACTGATAGCCTCAGTGTAGATCACGGTTCATCCCTCATTACAAGCTGATTCGTATTCATTAGTTGTACGTAATCTCTAGAATTCCATAGAGGAGTCTTTGTCAAATATGAAGCAGCACTGCCGAATTTCGTACAATTAAAATAGGAATAGGAACTCAGGGCAGGGCAGGAACTCAGGGCAGCCTAAACTCCATCGTTGCTTATACAAAAAATTTGAATAACAACAAGTGAAACTTATATAGAACTATTAGGAGCATTGAACATTCTTCCCTAGTCTTTAGTTGGATTTATTTTCGTTGACTACAGTTACGGCTTGAACTGGTTGACACCTAGCATAGTTTCTCAACGTTACTGGCTACATTACATACAACGAAAACTCTATACTGCTCTACTTCTCTATGTGTCTGTTGCTGTTCTCTTAACAAATTTAGGCCAGCGGCTGCTTAGTAAACACTAAACACATTTTTTTATACCAGTGAGACTCCTTTTGGTACATTTTCACTGGTTAAAAGTAAGATCTCTTTAACAATAGTCTGCCGCCACTGAGATGTTACCTTTTACCTGGCATCTTCTTACCATCTCTCGCTCTTCACTAAAACCTTCGAAATGTTCTGGAGAGCAGTTGAGTTCTGAATGAGTGTTTATTTTCACTCATCAGACAATTTAAGGTTTGAAATTCTTTCAATTTTCTTATGGCGATATCTTTGCAGTTGGAGCCTCTGCTATTGCCGGTTCATTACCTTAAGGGCGATACCAACTGCGCTTTGACTATATGGTTGGTTTTCCGAATTTACGATCAGTCATAAGCCATGATAGAAGAACTTTTTAAGGATGCATAAAAGTATCATGACCTTCTTTTTGCCAACGTTAAGCTTCTCGGTGGCCTACCCTTTATAGCTCAGCGCTTCGTTAGATCTCAAATATCCTCCACACACCCAAATAAAGGGTATGCGGCAAAGCCGCACCGTTCGTGTGTAAAACCAATTGTCGGGTCTGATCGTCATGTAAGCAGTTCTTGGATTACTCAGAAGCTAAACATTACATTCGCAAGGCCAGGGTTCAAATACTGGTGCGACCACCAACCGATAAACAAGCAAAAATCAATTTCAGTCGCCTCTCGGTAGGAAATGCTAACCCCTCAGACTGTATTTCTGACATAAATAAAAAAAAACTTCTCATAAAAACCATCAGCCGTACGGCGGTGGCTTAGTACAAACTGTCGGTCAATCCAAAAGGACCGTTAACAAAATTTTCATCAGCGAAGCATTGCTGAATCGTAACAAAATCGATCCATTTCTGCAGTGAATGCCTGCTGGTGATGAAATATGAATCATTTACAGCAACATCAAGTGCAAATGGCTGTAGTTGAAGGGAAATGAGACGACAACAATGGTCTCCAGGAAGGTTTTGTTGTATGTTTGATGGAATGGGCACGAAATCATCCACCATAAGCTGCTTTCTAATGGATAAACTCTTATTTGGGATCAGTACTGTCTGCAATTTGACTGTCTGAAGATAGTAATTGCCCAGCAGCGCAAAGGTTTTGCCACTAAAAGAGAATTTGTAATTCTCATCACAACAACGCCAGAGCACAAACACATCGAAAGTGACTTGGCAGAAATTCCGCGAGTTTCTTTACCTAATAGACCGTACCTCACACCACAAGGGACTACCATCTGTTCTGATTTGGCTGTTGAAGAATTGGACTCAAGAGAAGCCTGTAAAAATCGGTTATCCCAATTCGTTGTCAAAGGAGGACAAGGGTTTCTTTGAGGTTTTACTATTCTCGAAATGGCGATAGCTTATCGAGGAAAAACTCGGATAATTCTGATTATGGGGAAATAAAGTCTTCAATTTAATGCGAAAATAATGGATGACTTTTTACTTGACTTAATATTTTCGTAGCGATGATTTTAAAGCATTTTACGCAGTCTTTCCGTAAAGCAAATAAAATTAAAAAAATTGCATTAAAAGTCATGAACTATTTCTAGAAGTCGATACATAATTATTCTGCTTTTTGTATTAAAAACATTTATTAGATGAACGTCTACTAGTTGCTTATATAATAATACTTACTTCGATATTTGCTTGAAGTGGTGAAATTTTTTTTTTTTTGTCTATTTTTCTGGCTCCTTTTTTAAACTTCTTTGCATAAAAATTTTTGCATAGTCTTTTTTATAATAATTTTTATATGTTTATTTTCTTTTCATTTTTTTAGTTACTATTATTTTATTTTTTATTTAATTTTAATTCTGCTTTGAAGTAAAAACACTGATTGAATTTAGTTTTAATAAATATATAAATTTATTTTATTTTACTTTATTTTGTTTAATTTTTCAACAATTTTCTGTTAGTAAATGTGTATTTTTTTTTGTTAGTTTTGCTCTACTTTTTTTTTTGGAATTTTGCGATTAGTCAAATGTTAGTCACTATTTAGCTACACTTATCTATCGATAACGATTATTTTCCAGAAAGTCTCTCTTGCTTTCTGGTGTATTTCCCGTTTTCCACACAATTTAATTAAACGCAATAAATCTGTAAGAAAAAAAGAGAAGAAAAAGTCAAGAAAATTTGTTGAGCAGACTGCCGAGAGCACCAACTTCCAACACCGACATACAAAAAAATAATAAATTTCCCAACTATATATACATATGTTTATATGTATGTACGAGTAAGCGCCTGTGCATCTATCACTTTTCAAAATAAAATTCATTTCAAATTAGAAAATGAGTTGACATAAATTTAAGCAACAAATTAAAGTAATTAAAAGTGAAAAAAGGAAGAAAAATCGACGCGATGCAAGAACGGCGAACGGTATATTGGGGTCTCAAGGCTGCCGTCATCGTCGTCGTCGTCGTCGTCGTTGCCACCATGCACAACTCACTGGGGCATACACCAATTTTAATTCAATTTTTATACTGCATATAAATATGTTTGTGTGTGGTTGTGTGCCATGCATTCTAGTACTTAATGCCACTACTCATGTTTAGCTCAGCGCACTTATTTTCTTGTCAGCGTTTGAGTCACACTTTTACTTAACAGCAAGTTGTTGTTGTTGTTTTGCGTGGTAGTTGAATTTAATGAGATCTTTTCGTTGGCTATTTTTATATATTTGAATATAACAAGAATGCTTTTGCATACTTTAGGGCGTCATACAAGGGGTTTTTAAATATAGCATGAACATGTACGCGTATATATGTTTGTATTCAAATAATTGTATGTGCTTACAAGTTGAAGTAAATGTCATTGAATTTATATGCACTTGGAATTTGTTGTAAGAAAAAAATTATGCAGTAATAAATTTAGAAATAACCTCAGGAGTGTATGCTGGAGAGTATAAAGGGGGTATAGCATAGCAAGTAGACAGAGTTTAGATGAGGGGAAAATAAATACGGTATTTGTATTGAAAATTTTTAAAATAGCAAATTATGAAAAATATTGTACAATATTTTAAAGAGTAAAAAGGCAACAACAAAGTGTGTCCTTATATAGAGAGTAATTAGCTGAAGGGGAAGCGTAGAAAAAGCGAACAAAGCACTCGAATAGGGCACTGAAAATTGACGGTGGTGAGTATGTTTTTTTCAGCTATATTTGTTTACAATTTAAAACTTTTTTTTTTAAGAAATGATCAAACTCAGCTTCATTGTTAAGGATGTCGGCGCTAAAAAGAAAAATTAAATATTAAAAAGGAATTAAAAAATTAAATGTTATTACATAAATTAAATTAAATAATATTACATTGATATAAGTAAAACACTAAAAAATTTAATAACAATAAAATAAATCATTAAAAATTCAATTAAAGAACATTAAAATGCACTATATTAATTAAAATTAATTTAAACTATATAAAACAATTAAAATCAAGTTAAATAAAATTAAATCAAAATAAATTAGCAAAAATTAAATAAAAAGTTTATCAACATTAACGCAGTAAAAATTATAAAAAAAAATAATTTTTGAAGAATAAAATTAAATTAAATTTAAATTACATTAAAATAAGTTACACTAAATAAAATTTAATCACATTCAAATAAATCATACAAAATTGAATTGAATTATATTGATGGTACCTATTTAAGTTAAAATTAATTATAAATTTGAATCAATTAGAATCTAGTTAAATTAAAAAAATCCATCAACAATAAGACAGCAAAATATAAAAAAAAATATTTTTTGAATAATAAAATTAAATAAAAATACATAATAAACTAAATTAAAATACATCTCACACAATTAAATTAAATTACATTAAAATAATTTACTTTAAATTTAGTTAAATTACATTGACAGGAGCTATATTAAGTTAAATTAAATTATAAACATTAAATCAATTTAAATTAAGTTTATTTTAATTACATCAAAATAAATTAGCAAAAATTAATTTAAAAAATTCATCAATACTCAGACAGCCAAATATAATAAAAAATAACTTTGGAGAATAAAATTATTGGATGAGTGCATAAATTCGTGCCCGATTCCGCTGGATGCCGTTCAAATCGTTTGAGAGTGGAAGACGTCAAAAACCACCTTGACACTTTTTCAACGAGAAACCGCGCGATTTCTATGAATCAGGCATCCGTAAATTGGTTGAACGTTGGGAGTGAATTGCCGAACATGATGGCGAATACATAATTGATTAAAAAAAGCGCTTTCTTCAAAAAATTTCAATTTTAGTTTGCACTTGAAATCGGGCACGAACTTATGCACTCATCCAATAAATTAAAACAACCAATAATCTAATTAAAGTAAATTTAAATTACATTAAAATAAATTACATTTAACTAAATTAAATTATATTGTAATAATTTACATTAAATTTAGTTAAATTATTGACATGAACTATATTAAGTTAAATAAAATAATAAACATTAAATCAATATAAATTAAGTTGATTTAAATTACACCAAAATAAATTAGCAAAAATTAATTTAAAAAATTAATCAATACTAAGGCAGCCAAATATAATAAAAAATAGTTTTGGAGAATAAAATTAAATTAAAATAAACAATAATCTAATTAAAGTAAATTAAACTTAATTAAAATTAAATTGCATCAAAATAAATTGTATTGCATTAAATTAAATTACATTGAAATGAGTTATATTAAGCCACATTAAATTGTAAATTTTAATCAATTTAAATTTAATTAAGTTAAATTAAATTATAGTAAGTTAAATGAAAAAAAACCGTCAACACTAAGACAGCAAAATAAATAAAAAATATATAATAAATTACATTAAAATAAATCTCTTAAAAATAAATTAAATTATATTTTATATTTATAATTAATAGTTAAATTAAATCAAAATAAATCAACAACAATTAATTTAAAAAAATATATCAAAACTAAGCCAACAAGAATAAAATTAAATTAAATATGTAAAAAAATAAAAAGTTTTTTTTTTGGCGTAGAGCTTTTAGCAATAAAAACAGAAAAAATATAAGTAATTTTTCTTTTAAAAATTATTAATTTTTTTGTATATAATAAATAATACTTAAATTTATATTGATAGTAAAATAAATGAGTTTCAGAAATCACCGCCACCCATATTTTTAGGATTATCTCAACATGAAGAAAAAAGTATTAGTAATTACTAGCATGCAAATGGTCACTATTCACTATTAAATAAATAAATAAAATAAATAGTAAACAGAAAAATGATTTTAAATACTTCTAAAAGTAATATGTATGATAATTATTTAAAAAACATAAAAATACCATAAATAACCAGAAAGTCCCTTCTTGGGGATCTCAGCATTTTATGCAATTTAGATATAACATTATATTATAACCGATATTTGTAAGGCGTTGATATATTAAAGACAAAGAAAAGTCTATAATAAAGCATCAAAGAGTTTCAAGTATTATATCTTTTATTAAATAAATTAATCGATTTTGTGATTTCAAAAGTACAGCGTTGTATTTTGACATCTGTTAAACTAACTCTCAAACCAAAACATGTTTCGTTTTAGTTAAAAATTAAACATTTATGAAAATGGCACGCGTTAACAATATCAAAATCTACTACAAAAAAGCTCCTGCTTCAAAGGTGTTCACGTTTTGTAGTCCTCTCAATGCTGCACATAAACGTCTAATTACTCAAGTAATTGCTAAAATTCAATAGAAATTTGAAAACAGTGCAGCTGTTACAGATATTGCAAGAGCTGTGCATCATTTTCATGTGCGTTCCACCTCAAAACTCGGTACTGTAAGTGAAAGGGTAGTCGAAGACCCCAATATGTATATTTCTCGACGCTCTTAGGTGCTCGGACTTTCTTACAGCACATTATTTTGCAGGGAAACTTACTCCCAGATCCATATAAAGTCCACCACGCACAATAAGTAAAGTCAGCTAACCATTCAGAGCTGACCGTACATACGTTGATTGGGTGTTTGAACAACAAGCGCGGGACGGTGACTTTTCGAACAAAATTTTCTACAGCAATGAAACACATTGAAAAATTATCGAAATAAGTCTCCGAGAACCTTTAAATAATTGAAGAGATGCAAATAAAAAAATTAGTGTCTGTTACACGCTTTGGCCCGGAGGTGTACCTTACTTCTTTACGAACGACAACGGCGGGATTGACACTATCAATTCGGGGCATTATGGTCGTATGATAACTGCCTTTTTTTTGGGTCTGCAATTGAAGAACACTACGGGGACAATACAAAATTACAACAAGATGGTGCCACATGCCACACAACAGGAGCGAATGTGACTTTTTTGATAGAGAGGTTTTCTGGCCGCGTAATTTCTCGCAGTGGCGATGTCAATTGGCCACCAAGATCGGAAGATATGCCGACATTAGACTTTTCTTGTGGAAACTATGACAAACACGGTGTTTACGAAGATGGGTCTTTAACTCGTGAGCACTTGAAAACCGACATTCGTAAAGTTATGACTAAGATATCTCCCAATATGTGTCAAAATGTCGTCCAAAACTACCTCAAACTGATCGAAGTTTGCCGAAATTGGCAAGGCGGTTCTTTGAATGTTGCAGTGTTTCTGTTTCACATAGAATTTCTTGGTTCAAACATTATAGTGAAATAGAAATTTCATAAAAAAATTGTGGCCTTTTAAGCAAATTAATTGATTTCCCTCACTCACATAAGTACGCGCTTAGCTTAAACTAAGTGCCTAAGCTGCATACATACATATAAACACCATCAAACACCTGAAAAAATAACTAATCCCACGGAAAAGTTGAAAGCAAAATACATACATATATAATTTGGGTAAAACTGGGCATCCGCAAACATTTCCATAAAGAAGAAAAATGAAAAATAACAGCGAATAGAAAGAGAATCGTACAAACACGTCGAAGTATGTATGTATGTTGGTGAAATTAGTTGAGAAAAAACAGCAAAAAAAAAAAAAAACAGCAAAAGCAAAAACAAAAATAGTAAGCTCACTAAACAAAAACTTAATTGAGTGTTGCGCCACATTAGCAGCAATTGCAGACGCATCAACAGCTGCAGCAACAACAACGGCGTCTACAGCAGAGCAGTGTGGAAAAGACAACAACTTTGCAATTAGCCAAAATTACCGTCAATAAAGACAAATGCAATGTAATTAAGTAAAAGTAGTGGAGGATAGTGAATATGCAATTTTTCTTCCTCTTCTTCTTTTTCCCCTCTTGTTCTACGTGCGAGTTAATCATTTCCCTAAGCCCACACAGTCTTTTTTTTAAATTGCAGAAATATTATATAAATACATACAGTAAAATAATCATTATTAATAATTATTTTATTTCATAATAAAAACATAACAAAAATAATAATTTGCTAAATGAAAACAACAACAACGCAAAATAAAATTAGCAGGAAATATGAATTGAAATGCTTTAAGAAAACGAAAAAAAAAATTAATGAAAATTGAAGAAAAAGTTTAAAAACTATTCAAAACTGTTTAATTTATTGCTTTGATAATTGCCTACATTTATTTTATTGCACGAAAAGTCATTTAAAGAGGTAGCGACCACCTCTAATTTTAAGTTTTTTTATTATTACATGGAAAGTATTAAGGAAAAAATTTCCTCATAAAAAATAAAGAAAATAGAAAAATAAAAATAAAATAAATTACCACGAAAAAGGTAATAGCTATTTTTGGGATTGCTCAAATTAATATTATTTAATTATATTTTTTTCAATTTTATTTAATTATCAAAGGAGCATAACGCTCCGAAGTGATAGTGACAATCTCACTGTTACCGTACCTCCGTACCAAAGAGCGCAAAAAAATGCTATTGTCTGTTTTTATAAAAATAGGACAGGAAAACAGGAAATATCAACACCTTCGAGTCTGTTTCTGGCATGAAATAAAAAAAGCTCCTTATGAAAACCATCAGCCATTCAGAGGCGGCTTAGTATAAACTGTAGGCCTCTCTATTGGTTGGAAAAACATTAAGACGCAAAACCAGAAATTGGAGGAGAAGCTTACCCAGTTTTACACATATGACTTATGAATTATTTAGGAGTCTCGTTGTTTTATTTTTCATAGAAAAGGTAATAAATAAATAAAATTAAAAAGGAATTACTGCAAAAAAATCCTGAAAAAGTCAGAACTCAATAAATAAATATTTTAGTTTAATATAATTTTGTATTCTTTCTAATTTTTTGAAAAATCTGAAACGCAAATCATCCAAATATTCACAGATAGTTATTTTATTTATTTTATTTTTATATTTTATTTTTCATTTTATTTTAATTAAATTTGCTCTATTTTATTCTACTAAATTAAGTTTATTTTACAATTTTTTTATTTTATTTATTTATTTATTTTATTTTATTCAATTTATTATATTTTTTTCTACTTTATTTTATTTAATCATTTTTGATTCATTTTATTTTAATTAATTTATATTATTTATTTTACTTTATTTTACATTATTTTGTTGTAATTTAGTTTTTTTTTAATAACATATTAATATATCTTTTCCTTTATCGTATTAAATTTAATTTTATTGCATTTTAATTTACTTTATTTCGTTTTTTTATTCCATTTTGAGTATTAAATTTATTTTCTCACTTTATTTCATATTAATTTATTTTATTTGATTTTATTTTTTATTTTATTTATTTTCTAATGTTCTTTCTGTTATTTTTTTTATTTGATTTTATTTCATTTCGTTTTATTTTTTTTTTCATTTAACTTTTCGTATTTTATATTTTTTTTATAATTTTTTTATTTAGGCTAATTTTATTTCATTTATCTCATTTCATATTACTTCAATTTATTTTATGTCGATTTATTTTATTTTATGTTAATTTATATTTTTTTATTTCACTTTATGTTATTATATTTTTATTTTTAATTTATTTTGTCTTATTCTATTTTTATTTTGTTTTATTTTATTTTATTTTATTTTATTTTATTTTATTTTATTTTATTTTATTTTATTTTATTTTATTTTATTTTTTTTTTTCATTTTATTATTTTATTTTATTTCATTTTTGTTTTGTTTTGTTTCATTTTATTTTATTTTTTTGTTATTTGTTCGATTTTATTTGATATTTCCTTTTTTTATTTTGTTTTATTCGTTTTTATTTTTTTAATTTAATGTATTTTTATTTTATTTTCTATTTGATTATGGACTTAATTTTAAATCATTTTTTTTATATTGTTATATATTTTTTTTCTATTTTTATCACTTTATTTCATTTTAAAATAAATTTAATTCATTTTCTGACATTTTTTCAGAGTAAAAATCTTGTTTTAGTTTAAAAATAATTATTCGAAATATTGGTGCTCTCTTCACAGCTTAAGATATTAGAAAATATAACAACCTACACTTGCAACAAAACTTCAGCGCCTTCAGCTTGATATTTAACAATACTCTTTTTAAGATAAACAACTTCTTATGTCATGGATGTAAGAAAATTCTCAAAATATTGCACTAAATTTATGTTTCAGAAATTTGTTGCTGTTATTTGCTCACTTTTTTCAATTTGCTTATATTTCAAAATTTTTATTCAGGATTTGAATTTAACTATTTAGCTGTAGTACTTTCTTTATGCCACTATTTAATGCACAATTAAAATTCTTTTCAAATGCGGACGCGCGTTAAGTAGACGCAGCTGCGACGCACGAACATATACACCAAGAGAGCTGGAGGTAAAGCAATTCGCGACTGTAGGGGCAGTTCACATAGAAAGGTTGCAGCCGAAAATTTCACACACATTCATTTACAACAATAGCAAAAATACTTTATAGAATTCACTATTTCCGTTGGCGCGCGGCGTGGGGAAAATAACTGCCTGGTCGTTTGTTTGCTGGTTCGTTTGGTTAAGGAAATGCGTTTCCTTCACTTTAAATATTATTTGAATATTTTTGCAAAGCAACGGAAGTAGGCAAGCAGCAGCTGTTAGGTGGCATATGACAAGTGTTTGTTTGAAATTTATTTAGCTTTTGGAGGCTTTGTTTGTTTTGGTAACAAATGCGCTTAGTTTGCATGCAGTTCAACACGCGTTTAAAGCAAGCGTTTCCTAAACCCAGTTGAGCGCTTACACAACTAGTTTTTGGTTAGACAAGACGGCGCTGCTAAGGCGCTTGTTAAGCATAGGGTTACTAAGCGGCGCTGGCTAAGGCATAAATTGGCGCGCGGTTTAAGCACGCTGAACAGCTTTTCAAAGAAACAAATTATAAAACCGATCGAAATATCAACGCGTTTCAGAGACTTACACGCGCGACAAAAAACACTCTTATTCGATGGGCAAAAAGCTTATAATACTTTAAATGAAGCGCGCGTTTTTGTTTTTCTCGAAAATTTTTTTACTGCGTATTTTTTCTCAAAAGCGGCGCTGTTATTGCTTTACGAATTTTTTTTTCAACTTAGCTCTCTGCTTGGTAATATACTAATATTTTTTTGAGTAAATGGTTAGAGTTGTTAGCGGGCAAAAGAATAAGAACGCGACCGCTCGTACACGTTGTCGCTTATAGACTGAAGCGTTTGGTAGCGGCTGTTTGCTAAAAAACATGGCCAGAATAACCAGAACGCAGATATGCAACTATTTTGTTGAGGCGCTGCTGCAGCCCTACTGCTGCTGCTCGTCCAATTGCTGCAACACCGATTGGATAAAATAGCAGTACACGACGTCAAAATCAGAAACTAGTAGAACGCGCGACATGGAATTGCAAGAAAAAAAGCGAAAAAATCTCCAAGCAAGAACAAAAACAAGGTATTAACTTGCTACGCACTCGGGTGCACTAGAATAGTTGCATGCAATTGCAGCGCCAACGGCACACAATCAAGCGCACTTCGTGCTGTTGCTAATTTCGGAGCCACGCGAAAGCGGCGCTCGCAAATTGCACACACACACTGCAACGCGCTGCATGAAATCTCTGCACGCGCGAGAGCTGCCCAATTGCTTGGAGGTGAATAGGAGAGCGCACGCTTAACATAGCAGCAGAGTAGGAGCGTGCGCTTGGCTGCAAGCTGCATTAAAATGCTGCAACCGCGCTTCCCCATACACGCGTGTATGTAATTGTGTTAGACTCGCAGCAAGACTGCTGTTGGTGATTCGTTGCCCGAAGCGGCGCCGGTCATAATGTCAATTCGCCGCCAATAGGTCGCCACAGCAGACAGCGTGCTTTGTCGGCTTTGACGTCAGCAGTTGGTGGACGTACGCAACATCATTATCATTATCATGATGAAAAGCGGCAGCATTAGCGGCGCTGCAGGTCATTATGATGCGCTTAAAGCTAGCGTCTCTCAAAGTACTATGTTCACCACTTTAACTAAATAATGGTTTAAAATAATAATGGAGCATAACATTTTCTATGCAACTTTGTATTTTGACAACGCGCCAACGAAGCGTTAACCCAACGAGTGGCACACGATGTTAATACCTACTCACCACAACGCCGCCAAGCAACGAGCAAACAGGAAGCATTTCGCGGAAGTTCAAGTGCCACTCTACAAAGGCTACTTTGCTCCAATGACATTGTGGTTAAATAGTCATATTCACCACACTTCCGCTTTACGCTGAAGTAACGAATAGAAGCTCGCTCTTTTTTGAAAACAACTTTTTTAACAGCTGAGAGATTGAGTGTGCTTTGCGGTGAGCGGCGCTCAGTTAGCACTTGCAGAGAAATGTTAAATGGCTTTCCTTAAAGATGTTCTCTTCTCTTCAATGTAGTACTGCAGCGTGAGAGTGTGGCTTAAGAGTGTACATTTGAAAGACACCTTTTTTTAATGAAATGAAGCATCAAATTATGAAAAGTATGTAAAGTATTAACTTCTAATCCATTATGTTATGCCTTTATTCACTATCATCCAATAGTCGAAAATTTTACTAAATTAATTTTCCATAAACACCAATAACAAGTTTTGTAAGGAAAAGAAAATGCAGATGCAATAAAAGTAAGAAAATGGAGTCAAGAAATAAGAAATCTAAGGAAGTCTATTTTGACCAGATACTGTACCAGACAATAAATTTTTCCTCGTAGACAGATTTTTCATTTGCGAATCGCTGCTTAATCATAAAAAAAGTCGATCCATTTCTAAAGTGGATGATGACTCGATACGGAAAATGGGTCACCTATAGCAGAATCAAATGAAAATTTCGAAGGGCAGTGAGCCGGCACAAACAGTCAAAAAGCCAGAATTGAGGTGCAGTATGGTTTTGTGGTAAGTTTAATTGGTTTAGCAAGGAAATATGCACTGTGAGCTGTTGCCTTATGACCAAACTCTCAATTCGGACCTTCTGTATTATCAGCAAATGGATATCATCTTAAGGAAGCAAACGCCCAGAAGCACACGGCTTTGGCCAATGCACAGGATATTGTGCTTCATTAGGACAACGGCAGAGTATACTCGTCGATGGTGACTCACCAGGAGCTAAGAGAGCTTTGCTGGGATATTCTTATACATCCATCCGCCTTATAGTCCGGTCACCGCACGGCAACTGATTGCTATCAGTTTATGTCATTGGCTGGTAAAGAATTGGCTTCGAGCGAAGCCTGTGTAAATTGGTTGTCATATATTTTTTAGCCAAAAGGAACAAGTATAGTTACATTACCTTCAAAATGACAAGGAGTTATCGAATAAAATGGTGCATAATTGAAATAAATCCGTTAAGTGTAAATATGGTAAATAAAGGCTTCAATTTAATAACGGAACAATGATATTTTTTTATTTTTAATATCGGATTACTAGACCTTATATTTTTTCTTTTTTATTTTCTTTTTTATTTTTCTTTTCTTTAATAATTTTTATTAAATAATTTTTTTTCTGATTTTTTAATTACTGTTTTTATTTTTATATTATAATTTCTTTTGTTAATCTAAACTTTTTACAAAAATTTAATTATGTTTTATTATTACCCTTTTATTAATTTTATTTGATTTCAATATTTTGAACTTTTTATTCGAGTACTATTTTAATTTTAATTTTATTTTTTCATAAATTTTTATATTTAAAGCAATTTTTATTTAAATAATTTATATAAATGTTGATTCTTCTTTCAATTTCTTACTTATTTTTTAGCTCACTTAGAATATAATACTATAATTGGAGGAAGAGCTCAGCTGAAAAACACTTCAGCGGTTACAAAGCGCTAATTATATACATATATATAATACAACAAGTTTAATATTTTATATTAAAATAATTTTTTTACGTTCTCATATGAGCGCATTTAATTGAATTATATTTTCTATTATTTATAACATTCTTTTAATTTTTATATATTTATTTTTGAATTCCAATTTTTGTAATTTTAATTTATGTCTTATTTGGACTTTTTGATTTTTTTTTAATTCGATTATGTATGTGTAACATATTTATTATTTATTACATAAAAAAATTTTTAATTACATTTACTATTTATCCAATTTTATTTTTTTATATATATTTTTATTTATTTAAAATGTAAATAATTAAAAACAATTTTTATTTTTAATATTTTTATTTTTCATCAATGATTTATTTTAAATATTTATTATTTTTATTTCCATTACTTCTTATTTTTTAATTTAATTTTTTTTTTCAATTTCGATGTTCATTTACTATTTTATTTTCTATAAATTTTTTGAATTTAACTTTTTCATTTATTTTTTCTAATTAAAAATAATTTAATTAAATTAAAATATTGTTATTTTTGTTTCCAAAATTTTTTATTGTTAATTTTATTTCTTTTTTTTATATAAATCTTTTTAGTTTCGCTGTCCATTTACCTTTTTTTATATAAATTTCTTTGCATTAAAATTTTTAATTTTTTTTTAATCTACAATTTTCCGATATTTATTTGTTTTATATTTCATAAATTTTAAATATTTTATACTCTTTCTTACTTATGATAGCCACATTTGTTTGTTCTCTAATAACATAAGCTTTACAGAACATTTAACAGAGAAAGTTAACATAATCATACTCAGTTTTATTAAGAGAGTGCTGTGGTAGGTTGTGCTGGGGTATTTCAACATTGCACTCATTTGATTTATATTTGAGTATATTTAATTTCTAAAATCAAACTGTTCCCAGCGTTACAGTAGCGGTATGGAAAATGAAACTGTTCACAAGTATTTATATCATTCCTCACTATGAAACCGAAGGAGTAATAGACTTTTTTGGTATATAAAGTGACCTTGTTACATACTCAGCGGAAATGATTATAGAATTTGAAAAAGAATGAACTGTAGTAGAAATATCTACCTTGAGAAAGAGGCGTGAGTTGTTCAAGAACAGCAATATCGTTTCGCATTGCCAGCCCCTGGATATAATGACAGGAGTTCTTCGAGTAGGTTTTAGATCAAATTATGATGTTTCCTGTTGAATGTTTTTTTCAATAAGCCTCACAGGCAGTCATTTGAAGTTCATGATGCTCAGCAACTTGATGCTTTTCAGCAATCTCAGTACATTTGGCAAAGAATGGCCTACAGTGGATCTAAAAAACATTTAGTACATTTTTTCCTCTATTTTTTGGAATCAATGGAAATTTTTTTAAAAGAAAGCTTCCTTCTTTCAATATGACAGAAAATTTTGTAAGTTTTTTAACTGAAGGGAGTCTTACTATACCCCTCTCAATGGCATTTCGCTGTTAGTATGAAATGCAGCATATTTACCTTGTCATCAAATGTTTCTTTCCATCTACTTAGCTCAGTAGATAGTTGACTGAATGTAAGACGTTGCCTTTAGTTATCAGTGATGCATTTAGCTCATACTTTTATACGGTTCTGAGACTTTCCAGGTTAAACTTGAGCATTTTTTAACGTCAAGTCTGAAGCTAGAAAGACTTTACTTTAGTTTTAAGTTCAACCATCTCAATTTGTCAGCCCCAGATTATGAGTTCAAGCCAGGCCACTTGAAATAAACAAAAAAAACTTTAACAGCGGTTTAGACAACAGAGGGTTACATTATGCTGAAGTGCCTACCGACGAAGGCGCATAATTTTTACTCCAGCCAAAATGAGTGCCCTAACAGTGCCACAACTTTCTGATTGCTAGGCTATTGAACCACTTTGCTGCTTTGATAACTGACTTATTGGATCAATTTTCACCTTGATTTTCGGACAGGCCATTGAGGACTACAGTTGCCAGAGTTTTGACGCTCTACCCTGTCTTGAGCATGGCAGTCCTCCGTAACATTATTTGCATAGCTCCTGCAGCATCACTTTTAAAGAGCACATGAATGTTGTCCCAATTGGGAAGTAACTCATCGCACTTTCGATCATCTTGGCGATGCTTACTCTTTTTAAGCAATACGTTTCTCTATAACCACATCGCATGTATTTTTTATATAAATAAAAGAGCTTCTCAGTAATCTTGATCGGTGGTTAGTAGGAGGCATTGTTGGGAAACCAGCCCATAAGCGGTTACATATATTATATTTACTAGATTTTTGGCCTATTATTATTTCAACTTGTAGTCTTCTGTAGGTTAGATCTTACAATTTTCCCCCAATATCATCGTAGCGGCCTTAAAACCGCCCCTTTTCTGCCAAAGGCATTATTATTATCCCCTATATTGAAGGCAAATAT